TTTCCCTCTTATACCAGATACATTCTACTAAACTCTAATAATGATTCATAGTGAAATTCCTGACTGCAGCATAGAGAACTGTTCCTGTAGATGGATTTTGTTTGCCTTATCCTTTCTAATGACTCAATCCAAAGCAAGCAGGGAAAGCAGAAATCCCAGAGCATTAACGAAAGCACTTGTCTTAGAGATTTAGGAGAAAAAGAATGAAAACAACACAGCTGCTGTTGAAAACCAGATTTTTCAAAATGTGAGTTTATGGAAACAAATAGGAATCAAAGATATCTTCTTAAGAAGATGTACATCATTTTGTTAAACTTGAGATACCATGATGAAAGCATGAAAACTAATACAGAGAAAATGGAAGTGCAGAGAAGGACTAGGAAAATAAGAAGGGACCATTACAAGTACCAAACTTCTGGAAAAAGAAATTATTTCCATGCATCATTAATATAGTTATCAGCAAAAATTACACCATTGCACCTGAGAATCTTAAGCTGTTTTAGGAAATTCACCTTTTACAAGAGAGATCAAATAATGTAGTTGAAGAGGATTTAAGAGTAGAGAACACTTTCAATTTCTCTTTATCTAGGAATCTAAGGCTGTTCAATTCCACAGGGAAAGCATCATGATTAGGTCCTCAACAATCTGCTTGTATCATTAGAAAGGATATTTGGAAAATACAGATAAACTTTCTCTAATAATTTTGGCATAAATGATGCAAAGGACAACACATTCACATAAGGCAAAACTTCACTTAGGGTGAAATTCTTGGTCATAAAGATATTTCTATTTTCCAAACAAAGGTCATCATAAAACACAGCACTCATGAAATCCCTAAGGGTTATTGAACATTTTGGAACACGTATCAGTGTAAAAGCACTTACCATAGCCTGAAAAATCCAGCCGTGGTAGGAAAGAAATTATAAAGAATATTAATAATTTGCCAGCTTTATTGGGAAAAAAACCCAACAACTGATACCCATTTCAGTCAGAGTCAGAAGTATATAGTTACAGAATACATAATTAAGAGCTATACACTAAGTCCATAATTATTAAATTCTGTAATAAATTTTAGTTTTGAACTTCTACAACTTACACTTATTAAAGGTAGAATTCCTTCAAGAGGAGTTGTCCTTCAATGACTGGACAATAAAGCAGTAATCATTGACATATTAGAAGTTTTATTGCACCATTCAATATGTGAATTTTCTTTTTAGTTTCACTTTGATAATTATTATGGTTTTCAAAGTGAATAGTTACTGTTAAGATGCTGATGTCTTAACTTGTTCTTAGCTAAACCTATCTGTAAACAGTTCTGACAAGAATAAAGCAAAGTGCTATTTAAAATGCATAAAAGCATCATAACATAGCTGTGAATTATATTCATGTAATACAACTTACAGTGGAGTGGCTAGTGTCAAAAAGATGGATTCAATGAATGCAGGCAGTTCAATGAATGTAGGATGTCATAAATGGCAACTTTCCATTGATCTCAGAAGGAATTCTACTTCAAAACTGTTGCTGTACTCTCTTTGTGACCATTCAGATATTGTGGTATAGTACTGTACAATAACTGAACAGAAAGGCTGAGAATACATTGAGCAATAACTTAGCAAAAATTGATCTTTTAAAGACAACTATCCTAATCATTTACTTTGGTTGACTCCCCATCACTTCTTTACAACAAGAAATGGATTGGGGGCTTGCCACCACCAGAGACTAAATATGTATTTTATTGAATTATAAATTCTACACTTTATAAGAAGAAAGAGAGAAATGTGAATGGCACTTGAAATTCTTCACAGCAGAGAGATTCTACTTAATCTTGTTTAGACTGGAAGTCAGAATAAATCTCAAAGGAACTGCCATTCTTTTCCCTTTTCTGAAATTTATTTGCCTAGATTATTATTGTCTACAATGATTGCTAAAATAACATACCTGATCTTGTACCAAAAGTATGCATAAATCTTTAAAACATTCATACTGAATGGGTTACTTTTTAAAAGGAACTTTCTTCCTTTTTCAGTATCATAATAAATCAAGTTAAGCAGTATCCCAAGCACTCAATAACAGCTGTCTTCATAAGCTAATTCAACACAAAAATGAGCAGTTTATTATTGCAGGAAATTCACATTATTTGATTCCACAAGTAATATCTATATATTAGATTAGATATTCAGACTTACCTAGTACATTGTAACAACTGCATCATTGATTTTTACTGCCTCTATCCATTCTCTCAAGATACCTTTTTTCCATAAAACAGTTGTTGACAGATTATAATTCACATGCACAATAGTAATTACAAGAAAGATCTAGACAGCTGGCAAATAAATCAACAGTTTCATAGCCTCAGAAGTTACTTACCACATCTCGAACAATGGGGAAAGATTTCTTTCTGCGCAGGTCTGGCATGCTATCAATTCCATACAGCCCACGGCCAACACTGTAGGAGTTGAAAAGGCAGAGACAAAAATCCTTCAGAACTGCTTATAGTATCTGTATTTACAGTTAAAACCAAAATTAACAGCTATCAGCTAAAGAAGGTAAGTGTTCTAATTCTCATGAAGAATTAACAAGAGTGTTCTTAGCGTAGTTGTCTTTCTCCCGGCATTCACTCGGAAGAAAGTGTAGCTGAAAGGTTGTTTAAATACCTCCTAAAGCTTTCTACCATGTATTTAAAAGTTACAAGTAGCTTTCCATCAAAAGGACTTGTATATCTGGTAGTTAAGATGGAGGCCAACATTGTACAGGATATTGTTGTCATAAATTTAATACAAATAGAAAAATATCTAATTAAATACATAAACCCATCTTCTCATGAGTGATTATGGAAAAGAGAACTTGTCACATTTTAAGATAACTCCATGGCTATCATGGTTATTTTCTCTTGCCTGGTTTATGTTTTTAACTAATCACACATTTAAACCACATACTACATCTGACATACAATGTGGAAACAACAGCAAAGAACAACTTGGAGCCACTTTGAAGAATAAAAGGCTGACACACCAATAGGATTTCAAAGAATACACACTTATCAGGTAACGATACACGTCACTCTCCCTGACTCTTCAGAATAGGTAACACAGGTATTATCCTCCTGAATTTTTTCCAGAGTGAATGTGGTAAGATTGCTATATACCTTATCAGATCTATAATTCAGAGGTATTTTGAGATTCTCAGAGAGGCTGAGATACCATATTTTTCAAGATCCAACATACTGCCCTCATTGCTCCTTCTGTTTGACACTGTCTCAAATACCCTTTTCAGTTGTTCTTATATTTTTATTTCTCTACTTCTGTGTATAACAAAATTACATGTTACAGCAAACAGTATATTTATACAAATCAAAATTATTGGGTGAAAGGAGATTTAACTGAAATTAGTGACAGAATTTTCACTTCCTTTTGAAAGGTCAGTACTTTGTCCCAAATACTCCTTTGCTGACAAGAGGATTATAATCCGCTGCCACTAGTAGAGTTGAGAAATTCCATATTTATTTAAGACAGGACTCTGGATGATGACTCCTGTTGGACACAGAGGTTGCAGCTCCACAGCTGCAGCTAAATCAGAATCAGAGACCTCAATTGCCACAATTTTACAGCCTGGCATAGTGATATAAACTGAAATCGATGCTGGGTTATGCTAATATGCCAGCCTGTAAGCAGTTCAGGGACAGACATAACCTTCTACTCCAATACTTCCATTGCTAATACCTTCAAGATGAATCAACCCAAGCCAACAGAATTCATAAATCATATCCAAATGATTTAAAAGAAGTGAAATACATTAATGAGTGTTACAAAAAAGGACACCAACTCTGGTTTAAGCAATCACAAACTATTAGAAGACTAGAAGGCTAGGAGAGTATGCTAAGGAAATATCATCTTAGGCTATGCTTACTCTTTTCTGACAGCTTCCTAGGTATCTGCTTTTGGCCACCACCAGGAGAAGAGGGATTCTGTACTAAATGGACCTTTGTTAAGACTGTATCACTGGGGTTGGTTTCGGTTTTTGGTTGGTTTGTTGTTGTCGTGGGATATTGTTTGTTTGCTTTGTTTTTAAGGCAGTCTACAATATTTTTCCCTCTCACTTGGAACTTGGAATAAAATGGAGTTCTATTTGGTCACTTTTTATTCCACAGGCTTGAGGAAGAAATGGACACAGTATTAATTTCCATGCTTTACTTTCAATAGATGCAGAGCAACAAATTTCTTTTGTTGGAATGTGTTTGACAGGGGACTTGAAAATGTCAGCTTTGGTGAAGCTTAACTGAAGTAAAATCAGAAGAGATGAAAGTAAAATGGCATAATAGAATCTATATTGTTGGGGGTATTTGTTCACCTTCTGTTGAATAATTCCCATACTTCGAAGTTCTCTCTACTCAAATAAAAGCTCAGTGCATGTATGATACACCATCCCTGAAATACTGTAACTTCCTGTAATGTGAACAAACTAGCTAAGGCAACAGCAAGAAT